TTTTGTATCACGTGGTATGTTGAATGCAGCACTGGTTCAAATTATATGTTTGTGAAGTCCAAATACTAAGTCTGTAGTTTCGTACCAATTAGAAACTCAAATTACCGATATTGAAAAGCTAGAATGTAAAATAAGAGCCTTTTATCTTTTTAGTTTGCTAAGATATTGCTCATTTAATAAATCAAACACAGTAGCACCCCACCCACCTCTTTCTATTTTTGGAAACGCTCTCTTTATATACACTTCTATATATGACATGAATAACCAAGAATGTTCCCCTAGTGGCTTTCTCATCCATTTTAATGGGCTTGGCACCACTTCTTTCTTTTGAACCAATATTTCAACGAGGTAGGTGTGTCTTTAGTCTGCTCAAAATTTTGTAATTATTTTAGAGTAAAATACATCTGAGTTACTAAGCTTGATAAATTATAGTTGAATTCTGTGGTACTGATGTAGTAATTTATGATTTTTTTAGTTATTCAAATGTAAATATAAAACCTAAAAAAAATATTTTGTTTCATATCCTCCACGTGCAAATTTTTTCAAGGCTTAGTAACCTATGTCAAGCAGCAACCGAGTACAAAGATAGTAACTAGAAGAGATAATTGTTTGCTTTACTTCTTTAGTTATTGTTCTATGTTTTCAGAAAAAATAAGTTTAAGAACTTATTTCTAAATAGCAATAATCTATATACATATATAATGTATAATACTTGAAATATGAATATTTTACAAAATACTAGTCGACTAAAACACAACCAAGACAGGTTACTTTGTAAATACTAAAGGTCAGTTATATATTATTGGATATGGTAACATGAACCTCGTCATTGTAACTTCTGTATTGCTAGCCAGGCATGGCCGAAAGGTCAATATAATAAAAATAATAAGCTATATAGTCTAAACATTGCTTTACAAACCTTACGACATAATAAAAAAATGAGATATTTTTGTGTAAGAAAACATTGTAATGTTTACTGATAATCTTTCACTTACTAATTTAAAAGTTACAGAATGAAAACTATAACAAGCACAGAATGGTTACGAGGTCGGTCCCAGGGACTAAGCCCGTGCTGAAAGAGTTAAGGATAACCAAGTATGATTTCAAGGTTTCCCGTCATTATTGTGTTCTGCTCATTTCTTTAAACCTGTATAAACTTGCTAAGCTGTAGGTAGTTATGGCTCTCCTCACACCCGTACGCTTGTTTTGAATGTGATTATATGTTTTAGGTTGGAAGAGATAACCAGCATATTCCTTGAACATGTTTTGGAGATCTATGGTGCAGCAGCAAAAGAAATTTTCAACAGGTTGACTGAAGGCTCTCACTTGAGACAGACGTGGGCTCACCAGCTGTTGTTTGATGTGCGTTACTTAGCAGACTTGTTCAGAGTGAAAGAAAGAAGTAATCCTCAGCAAACTGCAAAGTTAGAGCAAATAATCCGTGACTTAGAGAACCTGATCGATCCCTTTGACCTTGATGTCTTCAATCCTCATTTCAAAATGAATCTTTCAAGAGCTCTTCAGCGATCATCCGTACGTGTATCAAACTTTTACTTTGTGTATCACTATAATGGTATTCAGCAATGATTTCAAGTGGTATTCCTCTCCCTGTGGAGATATTACTGTATCCAAAAATAAGTGGTTTTTATATCTCTTCAGCACCTGTCTTAATAAGATTGTTGTATCATAGTTTTACATTATGAAAAAACTTTAAAATATAAGACAAAAACTGAAATGTTGTAGATTATAACAAGACTATTACAGTCATGGTTCAATGTAGTGGATTTAATTTCAAACTTGGAATTTCTAATCTGCTTAACCTTTTCCACACAGGTCAAAGACCATGTCATCGCGTTTGTTGACTCTCTTTCAAATTTTATTGAACTATTATTTATGTCAATAAGTTTGATATCAAACTGTAGATTATAATTCAAATCTTAGTATTATACATTATTTAATTTCTTAATTTAAAAGTAATTATTAAAAAAAACGCATCGATTTTTGTGTGTCGCATGGAATGTTGAATGCAGCACTGGTTCATATTAGATGTTTTTGATGTCAAAATACAAAGTCTGTAGTTTGGTACGAATTAGGAACTCAAATTACCAATATTAATAAGCTAGAATATAAAATAAGAACCTCCTATCTTTTCTATTTGCTGAGATATTGCTCATGTACTGAATCAAACACAGTTACCCTGCTTACCTCTTTCATTTTTGGAAATACTCCCTTATATACACTTACTTCTGTCTATGACATGTGAATAACCAATCGAAAGCTCAAAATGTCCCCTAGTGGCCTTCTCAGCCATTTTCAAGTATTACGACGTCACCTCGTTCTTTCGATACAAATCTTCAAGGTTGTAAGTTGAGTCTTTAGTGGGCTCCAAATTTCATATTTTTTTAGACCTAAATACAGCTTAGTTACTAAGCTTGATAAATTATATTGGAATTTGTGTTGATATAGTAATTTATGATTTTTTGTTTATTTAAAATGTATAACAAAAAAATTATTTAGTCTCATATCCTCCACGTACGAAATTTTAAGAGGCTT